ACTGTAGTTTATTTTGACTCCATCTCAAACACACACACCGTCTCGCTGCACCAAACACTCACTAAAGCACCAAATGTAGATTAATCCACAACTGAAAATAGTCCCGAACAAATGCACTACTTCCTCCTGTTTAAGTTACAATTGTTTAAAAACTATAGTGAGCAGCTGTTTGAGCATGAAGTGAGGTACTAACACGTTGTCTGTAATACTGTCAAACTTATCTTTTAAAGAAGACCAAGAGCATGCTTCAAGGACCAGTGTGTAGGATTTAGTGCCAGCTGATTGCAACTCCCTCGCCTCACTCTCACGTTCAAAGCATGCAGGGAAAACTACGGTGGCCACAAAACCTGTGAAAATGCAATAAGGCCCTAATAAATTTACCTAATATTTATATTTACCTATAAATATTAGTTTCCAATTCTGCCCATAAATCCTCTTAAATGTTAAACACTGGACCTTTAAGTCTGATGCATATGTGGGTCAGAAAATAACACCAGGCTTGGAGCAAAAATATTAATTTGAAAGGTCAAAGAATGGCCATGAAAATAGAAATGGGGGGGCAAAAATTATATTTAGGAATATAATCTTTACATTTCACATAGCATAACTGATTTCTTGTTAAAAACTCAGGATCAGTCTCTTATTGGTCTGATTGGGCGGTTTTAGTGCATTTGGTGACCAAAAAAGAATCATATTTGATCCTAACTGCATTCGAACGACCTTAATAAATAAAATAAAATAGCTGCAACAAAACAAAACAAAAAATATGCCCCCAAAAACATCAAGAACATAAAAGTTGTTGTTTTTTAAACTCTGGTACAGATTGTTTTCCTTGTGCAAAGGAAGAAAACTGTTTTTCCATCGATTGAGTCATTGCACTCAGATTTCAAATTAAATCTGTAGTTTGCAGCTGACCTTTCAAAGCTTCTCCAATCAGATTACTGCAGATTACAAAAATGTGTCTGTGTCTATTTCCAGAAATGTACGACAGAAAACAAAATTTATCAGGAAGAATTTGACGGAGACAGAAATATCAAGAGAAACTGCCATTGCTTCCTCTTCATTTAAATGTATAAAGAGTAAAGTAAAGCACTCTGTAAAGCTTAGAACCATAGTTAGCTTAGTACCATATTCATCATCTTCCATTTGTGTGTGTGTGTGTCTGTTTGAATGAATGAGATGAGGAGAGAAACAGAAGTAGACGGGAAGAAGAGAAAAGTACCTAACAAACTGAGACTTCGACGTGGAGGAGGGGGAGGCGTGGGAGGGTGTGGCGTGTTCGCCCCTCGCCGTGAAATATCCACATCCATCAGGGAAACAGTCTCACCTGAGGTCAGACGAGAAGCAGAGGAGAAAAGAGAAAGGAAGGAAGTGAAAGAAGGTGAAACAAACAGGCTCTCTCGGTTTGTGTGTCTGTAATTTGCGTGTTGTGTTTTTTGTCTGTGCTGCAGAGTGCCAGTAAAGCTGCAACCAGGCAGGATGTTTATGGAAAATTACACCAAGCTAATCAGGCTAAATCACTGCAATAAAGAAGAACATCCCATCCCCACTAATTGAGACGCTGCAGATTCACTGTTTACCAAAGTGAAATTCTGCAGTTGGGGACGGTTACTGGCAGGGAAAGAAACAAATTCAAACGCAGCAGCCAAATCCCCCACCGCCTCCTAAACAGCAGAGAAAGCCGGACTCACCCACTTTAGATCTCTTCTTCTATCAGCTTTTTTGGTTGTGAAACATCACAGAACCGGCTGGGTTTGGTAAACACGAGCGTGCTGTGCGCAGGACTTCCTTTTTTTATTTTATTTTATTTATTTTAAGGCCCCAAGATTTCAAACAACCCATCTTCGCTCCTGTGGGGCCACCGATGTGAAATGTTGCCTGCATGGTGCAGCTTTAATGTTCTGTCTAATTGGTAGTTGGCCCTGTGCAGAAGCATGTGTTCATTAACTACAAAAATCATCATATTCAAGACAGTGGATTTAGCCAAACTGAAAACCTACGAGCAATGTAGGACAGCAGAATCTACTTCTGAGCCCCTGCGGTGGTTGTGGGCAGATTCTCATAAAGTCAGCTGAATAATTTTTTGCCAGCCGAGCTACAGACCTCCTCAACCTTCTTATCCAAAGGCCTTTTGTGCTAAATCTTGTCTTATCTTATCTGGTGCACCAGTTACAGACTCTGACTGGTACGAACAGTTAAAGGTTGCATATTCAGAATCGGAAGCCGAAATTCTGTTTGTTTTTTAAAATTAATTTTCTTATTTTTTAATATAAGAAAAAGGAGTAGTTTAACATTTTGGGGGAAATGCTTATTAGCTTCCTCACCAGTGAGTCAGATTAAAATTGACACCACTCAAGGCTCTTTAGCTTAGCTTAGCATTGAGACATGACTGGCTAGCCTCGTTCTGTACAAATTTAACACAACTTGCAATTTTCCCATATTATTTGCACATATTAAACCATTGAAAGTGTATAATTAGTGGACAGAGCTTCCGTGTCAACACAGAAGTGATATTAAACCTGCATTCATTCTAATGGACAGCAGGGGGCAGCCCCACTGGCTGTGAAGAAGGAAGTCTCATAGTATTGAGTCTTATGGGGAAATTAGCTGACTTCTCAGTTGATTTATGAGCTCAGTAAACAGTTTCCTGATGAGTTTATGGTCTCCGTCTCTAGTCTCAGTATTCTTCCATACAGCATGATGTTCATATAGTACATGATGGTCCCATTTAGAGTAAAAATACAAGGTAATAAAACTAAAAATATACACAGTAAATGTATCTCTCAATGTTTTCTTCATTTCTGTGAAGAATATATTCACTCTCTGATAAACAGCCTCGTCCTGCATTAGAAAAGTTTGCAGTTAAAACAACCAAACAGTTTCTATAATTGGTAAAAATCTTTATGTTATGTATTTTGAAATGTTGATAATTGTATAGAAAGTTAGTAATATATCAGGAAAACTCATCTCTGATTCAATAATGAGCTCAAAATTAATCCAAATCACGTTTTACTGTACCATCCAATACAACGTGTTACATAAACTAAGCTAACAATCTCCCGGCTCCAGCTTTATATTTAACAGACAGACATGAGAGTGGCATCAATCTTCTAACTGATAATCAATCATCTAACTCTCAGCTGGAAAGCAAATAAGTCTATTTCCCAAAATGCCGCACTGTTTCTTTATCAAATCTAACATGTAGGTGCGTAATAGTGAAACATTATAAGAGTGGTTGAATGGTGAATGGTTGAAGATTATATATAATACTAATTCACACTTTAATACTTCATACTGACCGAAATGTGTCTACAAACACTGTCACAAACTGGAATAATTGGTCAGATTGTCTTCGTTATCTATTCTTTGATTTTAAAATAAACTCAAATAAAAGAAACTTATTTTAGACTTTAACAAACAGTCAAAATTAAATTTGACTTAACCGGAAAAAAATTATTTTTGAGAGATTTGTTTGACCTTCCTTAAGTCACTTTACTTTAATTCAATAGTTCCCAACCTTTTCCTTTAAGGGACCCATTTT